AAATTCCGAAGCATCTCAGAGGTAGGATATAGGCCTCTCTCAGAGAGTTTATTAATATAACTTATAAGAGTTTTGGCTTGCTGGCTGTTGAGTAATCGCTGGTTTTCATATTGATTCTCTTTTGAATGCATAACACCCCGGTGGCGCCTTGAGAGTGTTGTACGATCAACACCGAATTTTTTGGCTACTTCCGCATATTTAAATGATTCTCCTGGATCTAGGGATTTTAAAAAAGCAAGCGCCTCATCAATTGAACCCATATTGACGGAGTTGTGATGGTTTGAAGTTGAAGTCAAAAAGTCGGTGTATATAGAAATCCGTGCGGCAGGTGGGGACGTGCGTCAGGTGATCAAGTACGGTAGCGGACACTCCGTAACAATGGCCCTCCTCACTGTCCATCTCTCACCGCTTAAAAATACCAACTTCTCCCCGCCACGAATAAATTGCCATATTTTATTACTATCTCCTCCTCCCCTGCCAAAGTGAATCAGTCCATACAGTGTTCTTAAAAAGAATTCCTACTATCAAAATGGCCAGTCAAGTTGAGCTACCCGCTAAAGATATTTCTGGCGTCGTCGGCCGTACTCCAGTGTTCGGGCTATACCACGTGGTTCCCCCAAATTGTGCCAAAGTTCTCGTAAAATTAGAACTTTCGAACCCCACCGGAACCTACAAAGACCGCATGGCTGAGTCCATCCTCGAGGAGGCCGAACGTCGGGGAGATTTGAAACCCGGGATGACTATAGTCGCAGCTACCGACGGGATCACAGGTTCTTCTCTTGCTTTCATTTGTGCCGTAAAGAAATATTCACTTACGGTTGTTTCCTCCAACGCCTTTGCTTCGGAGAAATTCAGGACTATGGAGGCTTTAGGTGCCAAGTTAGATCTCATCCATAGTTCCTCGGGGATCACACTGGACCTGATTTCTTCAATGGTATGCCGCGCAAAAGAACTTGCACAAGGCGACGGGTACTACCTCGCCGACCAATTCCATAATAAGAATATTTGTGTCGGATATGAGACTATGAGCGCAGAGCTGCTCCGCCGGTTCCCGGAAGGTATTGATGCATTTTGTGGTGCCGTGGGTGATGCGGGAATGGCCATGGGTGTGTCTGAAGTGCTGAAGTCGGCGTGGCCAGAAATGCTTGTTGTAATTCCTGAACCAGCATCCTCGCCGACTATTATAGAGAATCATCCAGAGACACATGATGTTGACGACAAAAATATTGGCTTTTACCCGGCGCATCCGGATTGGAAACTCTGTGATGAAGTATGCACCGTTCCAGAGGAAGAAGGGCGCGAGATGTGTTGCCGCCTGGCCGAGGAGGAAAAGTTGTTGGTTGAAACGTCAGCTGGCCTCAGTGTAGTTGCAGCGATTGCTTTGGCGAAGCGCCTTGGTCCTGGGAAGCAGGTTGTGACCGTTTTAGTAAACACTGCGCTCAACAATATAAATGGCTTGTGTACTTGATAGGCAATGTGTATACAAAGCTGTCAAGATTCGCCATTCCATTGCTCGGAAGGATCGGTGAAACATGTGATCGCACCAATTTTCGTGATATTGAGTTTCAAGCTGAGAAAAATCAACGGGAAGTCGGACGAATCCCTTGTTTGCTTATGATCGGCCAGGTACGTATGCCATACTACGAGAAGTAGGGGAGTTGATGGCACATAGCAAATCTGTTAGGAACGTGGCACAGCTCTTCTATGATTGGTTCGGTTTCGGTCAGCATTGGGGGAAATATTTGCTCCATGCAAGACACATGGTAGTACTTGTTCGGTTCTAAGCCTTATGAGATCTGGAATAGGGGTTTGCAGACTGTTGAAACTTACCATAGTAATGACCAGAAAGGTCCTTGACATTGAAGCGAAATGCAGACCTGATATTAGGTTCCCCATTTAAGTAGGAATGCATTGCCAAAAGCGACAGTGGCCTCTGGTGCTAGGGTTGTCTTGCAATATAATCACCCGTTTCTCATCTGTAAGCTCAAGTTCGATATACCTTTCAAATGCAACTCGCTTGGCTGGGTCTTGTGTTATCTTCTCCCATTCACTATATCCTTCTTCATCAGACGGATCATCAAATGGCTTTCCTCTGATGATAGGCTGACCGACCTTTTCTGAGAAGTCATGCTTCTTGTGACAATAGGCTCAAAGACTTAGCAGTAGGCAAGCCTAAAGAGCGCAAAGTAAAGAACAGTTTGCTGACATTTGTACTGGGCCGAAATCGGTTTTATGCCCGCCGAAGTCTTGAATGCCTGAAACACTATTGCCTCCATGATGCCGTTTAACTTTAATTGGCTTGACAGCGCATACCCCACTCTTGACCCGGATTTCCCTAGCGGGGGAGCTTAGTGCGGAATTCCCGACCCCAACAGGCATCCGGCAAGGTTCACCCCTGTCACCGATTCTCTACTTGATCTACAACACACCCCTGATCCGAGACCTTCTTGTGAGACGACCACAGGGAGGCACGACCGAAGCTTATGGATGGATCGACGACGCCTGTGTTCTGGCATCATCCGATTCGTATGCGGAAAATATCGAAACGCTGAAAATGGCTTTGGCTAGAGCAGGCCGATGGGTCAACCAACACGCCTCCAAATTCGCACCAGAAAAATTCGAGCTCATTCATTTTACCGACCCCCGAAAGGCGGAGGATACGCCGCCTCCGTCTCCGGGTCTGTCTCCAGACGACCCTAACAGTATCTGGGAGGTGCCGCTCCCACCAAGCGGTCACGACCAAATGGAGATCACCTACGCGGACACAACCATCAAACCAACGGAAGCGGCTAAATATCTAGGGATTTGGCTGGACAAAACCCTGTCCTTCGCCACGCACAGGACTAAGGCTCTAGCCAAGGCACATGGGACACTGGCAGCCCTACAAGGGATCGCAGGATCCACATGAGGCGTCCCCCTGCGAGCCATGCGCCGGATCTACCAAGCGGTGGTGATCCCCCAGCTATTCTACGGGGCTACGGCATGGTTCAGCCCACGCGGCGGCCAGGTGATGGCCTCGACAAACCAGAAAATGCTAGCAGAATTCACACAGATTCAGAAACAGGCCGCCTTGCTGATCAGTGGTGCTTTTAAAGGCACTGCAGCAGCAGCGTTAGATGTTGAATTATATATATTACCGGTACATCTCCAGTTACAGCAGATAATCAAGGAGACGGCAGTCAGGATCCGGACAGGACCGGAACTGGCTTGTCCCGAATCGGTGCTGAAACCACGCTCCGCGCGAGAACGTCGCCGCAGTGGGTGGACACCGATGGAGGCACTCAGTCGGAAAGGAGGCCCGTTGTGGCCTCTCGGGGAGAAAACATGGGAGACCCGCAAGCCATACATCCTGGCTCCATGGGAATCCCCTCTGGTGGCGGTGATTGACAGCCACGAAGCCGCACTTCAATATCACAGAGAATACTGCGCCAGGCGATAAGAGATCGCAGTATCCCCGGACGGAAGCGGGCTGAATGGTCGGATTGGAGCCAGTGCCATCTCTATTTCGCAGGGATGGATACGCAATGGGACGCTGGGATCAGAGGAAGAGTCTACGGTCTACACAGGGGAGCTGACCGGGATCCGGATGGCTCTACATAAGTTACGGAAGGAACAGGCGTCAGCTACGGTCTTTGTGCATAGTCAGGCTACCATACAGGCGGTCTATAATCCTCAAAGACCCTCAGGCCAATATATATTGAACCACATCTACTATATAGTCCGACGATACGATATGTGGAGCCGGACTCAGATCAGATGGATTCCGGCACATATAGGGGTCCTAGGAGATGAGACTGCCGACAAAGCCGCACGGGAGGGCACGCAGCTAACTAGTAAAGCTCTCTGTCTCGGAGCGGCGGCCAAGTGGTAGATACGCCGCCGTATCAAAGATAGATGGGCTCGAGAATGGAAGGCAGAGAAAACAGGCCGTACAACACACAAATTGACTGAAATTTCGAATAAAAAAGTGCTAGATCTCTACAAGGGATTATCCAAGCCGCACGCGTCAATTATTATTCAGATGAGGACGCAGAGAAATGGGCTACGGCACTTTAACTTCAAAATTAAGGTATCTGGCTCAGACCGATGCTCCTGTGGACAGGGGTCTCAGACATCAAGGCACATCCTACTTCAGTGCCCGCTTTTCACTGAATCCAGGAAGGTTATGTTGGATAGACTGGACCCAAAGGTCCGAGGCAAGATGGACTACAACGGGATTATATCCCATCCGCAGGCGATGCGCTACGTTGCCGAGTTTATACATCAAACAGGATTGCTCTGTCAATTTAGACGTTGAGCAAACTGGTCACTACAAAAGGGGAACAGATGTGGAAGACGATGCGTAGATAGTCACTTCTAGGGAGGATCCTGGTCAGACCCTCTTGGAACGCGCCCCAACACCCACTTACTAGGAGACACTAGAAGGAGCCGGGGACACAGGATGATGAGGGATTGGGATTAGGAAGACGGGATTCAGGGGGGCCGTCGGTGGCAGGCGGCTTTAGTTGTGATAAAAGCTATCGATTACTTCCTTTGTGGGCACATGGCGTTCTACGGTTACATTGTAGGCTCTTTTGACGTACCTGCATAGCTAGACGTTCAACAGTTAGGCTCTATCAGGTTAATAGAATTTTGATTGATTGATTGATTGATGGGAAGACGCTGGTTAAACGGTCACAGGAGACTGAGCAGAGTCAGCTCAGATCGGTGGTTTCAACTATATAGAACTACGAGTGAGGTAGAAGGAGGTACAAGACGCAGAGGATGGTTAAAGGGGAAGATCACGCGGTGTGGTACGCGTTTTAGTTGTGATCAAAAGCTTTTTCGATTATTATCTTCTCTATATATAAGGGTTTGAGGGATTCAAGGCGTTCTAGACCAAGATTTTGTCTCGCCGGCGAGGCGCCTGCATACCTAGACATTTCATTAATTAGGCTCTGTCAGGCTAATAGAATTTTGATTCAGTAATTCATTGATTGAATCCACCCTGAGCATTGATATCGGCGCCTTTATCCAACAGCATCTGTACAATCCTGTCATGTTCTCCATAAGAAGCAGCCTGGAGGGAATTACCGTACTGTCCACCCTGAGCGTTGACATCGGCGCCTTTCTCCAACAGTATTTGTACAATCTTGTCATGTCCTCGA